GAGGCAGGTTGTTCCACTGGCTAATTGTTCTCACTGTCAGGAAGTTTCTCCTTAGTTCCAGGTTGCTTCTCTCCTTGATGAGTTTCCATCCGTTGCTTCTTGTCCTGCCTTCAGGCACTTTGGAGAATAGCTTGACTCCCTCTTCTTTGGGGCAACCCCTGAGAATATTCCAAGCTACTCATGTTAGGGCATGTTTTTTTAACCAGGTTTTCTCTGTTAGCAATAGCCTGTTTAGTGACCGTTCAAAGTTAACAACGGCACTGAAAAAAGTCACTGATGACCGTTTTTTTCACAGTTACAACCGTCGCAGCATCCCCACGATCACGTGATCAAAATTCAGATGCTTGGCAACGGTTTCATATTTATGATGGTTGTAGCGTCCCGGGGTGTGTGTGTGTCACATGATCCCCTTTTGCGGCCTTCCGACCAGCCAAGTCAGATTCACTTAACAACCAGGTGATTCACTTAAAAATGGAGGCAAGGAAGGTCGTAAAATGGGACAAAACTCACAACAAATGTTTCACTCAACTACGGAAATGTTGGGTTCAACTGTGGTCGTAAGTGGAGGACGATCTGTACTTACTGCTACAGTTTGGAGTTTGAGTCAATTAGTTACGAGGGAGTGGACTGGGTTCTCCAAGATGTAATTGCAACTACTGTATTTCCCTGAATATAAGACCCAACCGGAAAATAAGCCCTAGAATGATTTTTTTCAAGACGCTCGTAATATAAGCCCCACCCCAAAGATAAGCCCCAGTTAAGACTATCAGCCAGACGGACGCATTTAGTACCGTATTTTCCCGAAAATAAAACCCAACTGGAAAATAAGCCCTAGAGTGATTTTTTTCAGGATGTTCATAATATAAGCCCCACCTCCAAAATAAGCCCCAGACGGACGCATTTAGTACCATATTTATAATAATAATAAAGTTGGGAGGGACCTTGGAAGTCATCTAGTCCAACCCCCTGCTCAGGCAGGAAACCCTATACCATTTCGGACAAATGGCTGTCCAGTCTCTTCTTAAAAACTTCCAGTGTTGGAGCATTCACCACTTCTGGAGGCAGGTTGTTCCACTGGTTAATTGTCCTCACTGTTAGGAAGTTTCTCCTCAGTTCCAGGTTGCTTCTCTGTTTGGTTAGTTTCCATCCGTTGCTTCTTGTCCTGCCTTCAGGCACTTTGGAGAATAGCTTGACTCCCTCTTCTTTGTGGCAGCCCCTGAGATATTGGAACACTGCTATCATGTCCCCCCTCGTCCTTCTCTTCCTTAAACTAGACATACCCAATTCCAGCAACCGTTCCTTCCATATTTTAGCCTCCAGTCCCCTAATCATCTTTGTTGCTCTTCTCTGTGCTCTTTCTAGAGTCTCAACATCTTTTTTACATCATGGTGACTGAAACGTCCCTGAATATAAGACCCAACTGGAAAATAAGCCCTTACGTGATTTTTTCAGGACGCTCGTAATATAAGCCCCACCCCCAAAATAAACCCCAGTTAAGATCGTCAGCCAGACGGACGCATTTAGTACCGTATTTCCCCGAAAATAAGACCTAACCGGAAAATAAGCCCTAATGTGTCTTTGGAGCAAAAATTAATATAAGACCCGGGGAAACATGGGTATCTGTGTGAGTTCCAGTTTGGCCGTAAAGCCAGTTGGGGAGCAAATCACCAGGTGACGATGAGTTCTAGTCCCGCCTTAGGCATGAAAGTTGGCTATGGGGGACTTTGGGCCAATCACTAGGTGATAATGAGTTCTAATCCTGCCTTAGGCAGGAAAGCCAGCTAGATGACTTTGGGCCAATCACCAGGAGACGGTGAGTTCTAGTCCCGCCTTAGGCATGAAAGCCAACTGGGTGACCTTGGGCCAGTTATTCCCTCTTAGTCCAATTTTCCTCACAGGTTTGTCGTTGTCGCGAAACTAGGAGGAGGGAGGAGTCTTAGGTATGGTCACCGCCTGGCGTTATTTATAAAAAAATAATAAAGGGCGGGATATAAAATAACGCGCCCAATGATCAATAAAGTAGCTTCGCGTAGCACTACGAGACGAGCAGTTCTCCATCACAGGAGATGGAGAATCCACCAATGGGTTAGCTCTGTCTTCCTGCTCATTAGACCAAGTCAGCCAAACTTGCCACGCCCGTCCTGGGCTAGGACACACCCAGTCTTGACTTGGTCTTCAGCTCAAACAGACGTGGCAATCTTGGCTCCCAGCAAGCAGGTAATATTGAGCTTACTTTGTTGGATTCTCCCCTTGCTCCATCTCCGTGCTGAGAAAAGGCGTTCAGATAAGACAACGCCCCTTTTCTCGTCTGTGGTAGCACAAGCTGTGGAACCATCAGTGTGTTGTGGTTTTTTTACACCGTGATTTGTGGTGCATGCCGGGTTTTATGCTTTTCCTCAGAGATGTTTAGAACTGTGCTTATGATCCCTGACCTATTCAGACAGCTGCAAATGAGAGCTCCGTGCTCCATGACCCGGAGAACATCTGGAGCCGTTGCTGGGACTGTCATTTCTGGGGGGGGGGAAATGTCCAGGAGCTGAGAGATTTTTTCTTATTGCTGAATCCCCCAGGCTTCCCGGCGAAGTAAAGTTCGATGGGCTGGCACCCGAACTCGTGGCAGATGGCGGTACTCGTGCTACGACGACAGCGAAGGTTCTGGGAACGAAGAAGACTCTGAGGAAGAGGAGGAGGAAGAGGAGGAGGAAGAGCCTGTGCCCGCGGAGGATGACGAACCGTGCAAGAAGTGTGGCCTTCCTAATCACCCAGAGCTAGTAGGTGGTTCTCTTTGAAAAGGATCAAATAAGGGGTGTGTGTGTAAAAAACAGATTTGCAGAACGCACCAGAGAAATATTGCTGTATTATTGTTGGGTCACCCATGTTTTGTTTTGTTTTTCTTCTTTCTTTCTTTCTTTCTTTCTTTCTTTCTTTCTTTCTTTCTTTCTTTCTTTCTTTCTTTCTTTCTTTCTTTCTTTCTTTCTTTCTTTCTTTCTTTCTTATAAAGTTTTATTTTTTTTAACAGAATTCAATAGTCACCTTTCAACAAAAACGCGTTGTCCGAGTATCTTATTCACTAATGCAAATTAAATCCCTAACCCCTAAATCTTTTCTCTAACCGTTGATAAAATAGGTCCCAAGTTTGAAAATAATTCCGTTTCTTCTTTTTCTTTCCACCTTAAAGTAAGTCTGTCCATTTCCGCACAGTCTTAATATTTTTTTAAAATTATTTCTTCTTCTGGTGGTAGTTCTTCGTTCTTCCAATATCGTGCAAATATAATTCTTGCCACATGTAAAATCAGGTATGTACTTTGCTTATCAAGTTTTTCTGGCATTATACCTAGTAAAAAAAATATCAGGTTTGTAGTCTATGTGTTTCTCTAACATTTTTTTCTAACCAAGTGTGGATTTTTGCCCAATATCTCCTTGCTTTAACACATGTCCACCACATATGATAATAAGTACCTGATTTGTGTTTACATTTCCAACATTTCTCTGACACATTTTCAAACATTTTTGCTAATCTTGTTGATGGCAAGTGCCATCTATAGTAGATTTTGTATAGGTTTTCTTCATATGAAACTGACATTGTCAACTTATAGTTCCTTTCCCACAGACTTTGCCACTTCTCTAAGTCTATAAAGTTGCTTTTTCTTGGCAACTTTTAAGACTTGAGGACTTCGACTCCCAGAATTCCTCAGCCAGCATCAGAATTAGTTGGAGCGTGCTGGATGGGGCAGAATCTTCTTTCCCTCTTGTTGAGATGGGTCATGAGAGAAATCAAATCAAATCAGATCAATCAATCAATCAATCAATCAATCAATCAATCAATTCCACAGCGGCCCATATTGTCCAGATGGCAGAAAGTAAAAATCAGCTGCATTTCTCTTTAGGGATCCAAAATACTTCAATTAATTCCCTATTTGAGCCTACAACGGCTCCTTTATCGTATAGGTCGTCCTTGACTTAACGATGATAATTGAGCCCAACATTTATGTTTCTAAGGGAGACCTTTGTTCAGTGAGCTTTGCCCTGTTTTAGGACCTTTGTTGTTAAGCGAATCACTGCAGTTATCAAGTTTGTAAGCGTTGTTATGCAAACCCATTGACCTTGCTTGTCAGAAGGTCGCAAACAGTCATCACACCACACCCGGGACACTGCAACCGTCATAAATGTGACTCAGTTGCCTCGCATTGGAATTTTGATCCCGTGCAACAGTAGTAGTAATAGTAATAGTAGTAGTAGTAGTAGTAGTAGTAGTAATAATAATAATAATAATAATAATAATAATAATAATAATAATAATAATAATAATAATAATAATAATAATAATAATAATAATAATAATGTTGGAAGGGACCTTGGAGGTCATCTAGTCCAGCCCCTTGCTCAGGCAGGAAACCCTATACTATTTCAGACAAATGGCCATCCAGTCTCTTCTTAAAAACTTCCAGTGTTGGAGCATTCACCGCTTCTGGAGGCAGGTTGTTCCACTGGTTAATTGTCCTCACTGTCAGGAAATTTCTCCTTAGTTCTAGGTTGCTTCTCTCCTTGATTAGTTTCCATCCGTTGCTTCCTGTCTTGCTTTCAGCTGCTTTGGAGAATAGCTTGACTCCCTCTTCTTTGGGGCAGCCCCTGAGATACTGGAAGACTGCTATCATGTCACCCCTGGTCCTTCTCTTCATTAGACTAGACATACCCAATTCCAGCAACCGTTCCTTATATGTTTTACCCTCCAGTCCCCTCATCATCTTTGTTGCTCTTCTCTGTACTCTTTCTAGAGTCTCAACATCTTTTTTACATCGTGGTGACCAAAACTGGATGCAGGATTCCAAGTGTGGCCTCACCCAGGCCTTGTAAAGTGGTATCAACACTTCACATGATCTTGATTCTATCCCTCTGTTAAGTTTGAAAAGCAGTCATAAGTCACTTTTTTCAGTGCCGTTGCAACTTTGAACAGACACTAAATCAACTGTTGTAAGTCTGAGGACTACCTGTACAAGATCGTATATTGCCTGTTGTTAGATCTTCTGTAGGCCACAGGGAATTAACAGAGTTGTAAACACACCTGGCTTGATTCAGCAATTTTTTTTCAGATTCCACAGTCATTCAGCCGATGAATTATTGAGGCCTTCAGCTGCTGCCTCTGATCAAGCTTAGGCGGTGGTTAAAAGAACTGAATTTTGTCTGTATTTCAATTGTCCCCTCTGCCCTTTCGTGAGCCAGCGTAACAGTTGGGTTCTATACAGTATCTTGCTTTTTGAAACATATGGAAGCAAGAGGCATCTTGGATTTAAAAAAAAAAAAATCCATATCAGGCTGACGGTTTGATTTGTTCCGCAGATTCTTTTATGCGATTCCTGTGACAGCGGCTACCACACGGCGTGTCTCCGGCCTCCGCTGATGATCATTCCAGATGGCGAGTGGTTCTGCCCGCCTTGTCAGCACGTGAGTTTTTTCTTTGGATTTGAATTTTCCCTTTCCCCCACTCCTTTCTCTTTAGCAGGGATCATTTTGATGAAAAAAGACTCTGCTGAATTCCATTTGGGAATGTTAATAAACTTGGACAGTGGTACCGGCGGTACTCATCGTTAATTGGTTCCGGGAAGTGCGATGAGTACCGAATAATTTTTCCCCGTAAAGAATAATGTAGTGAGTCACAAGGCGGCCGACAACGACAAGTTCTAGCTTCTGTGTTTGACTGCTAAACAAACCGGGACAAATGACGGCAGAAAATGACTTAGTGGGTCCATCATGTCTGCCCTTTTGAGTTTTTTGTTTTCATTTTAACACATTTATTTATTGTTCATTGCACTGTCAGCCAGATGTTTAGAATAGAACAGAGCAGAGCAGAACAATAGAATAGAACAGAACAAGAAGGAATAGGATAGAATAGGAATAGAGTAGAGTAGAACAGACTAGAACAGAACAGAACAGAACAACAGGAAGGAATAGGATAGGAGTAGAGTAGAATGGAATGGAATGGAACGGAACAGAATAACAGGAAGGGATAGGATAGAGTAGAGTAGAATAGAAATAGAGTAGAATAGAATAGAATTAGAATAGAACAGAACAACAGAACAGAACAGGAAGAAATAGGATAGGATAAGAATAGAGTAGAATAGAATAGAACAGAACAGAACAACAGGAAGGAATAGGATAGGAGTAGAGTAGAATGGAATGGAACAGAACGAAACGGAACAGAACAGAACAACAGAATAACAGGAAGGGATAGGACAGAGTAGAGTAGAGTAGAGTAGAATAGAATAGAATAGAATAGAATAGAATAGAATAGAATAGAATAGAATAGAATAATAACTTTGTCACTTTGAATGTACACTAATCGGCATACGTTAAAATGAAATTTTGTTGCATACAGCTCTCAAAGGGTCACCACCTCCAATACACAGTACATAAATATGACATAAATACATACATACATACATAATTATGCATATACCCACATATATTATATGACACAGAGAGACAACACAGTCTAGTTCGGATTATGTATACATGTGCATGGCGAGAAAAACGAATCTTATGCGTTTACCAGACGGACGGCATAGATCACCAATCTTTTCATGCTGGCAGCCCGGAGGAAAAGGGAGCAGCTGGGAAATTTGCACACAAGCGTATGCGTGCGGAAACGGGGCCGCGCGCACTTAACACAGGGCTAGCAGCCCTGTTTGCAAAGGCGTGCGGGGGCTAGCTGCCGCTGCTAGCCCCTGCGCGAATGCGCAAAGGGGCCGTGGAACCTGCATGTACACTAGCCGCCCTGTTTGTGCAGGCACGCAGGTGCTAGCCGCCGCTGCTAGCCCCGCACGCAGGCGCAAACGGCTCCGCGGGCGCTAGTGCGAGTGGGGGTGGTCAACTTGTCCCGCGGCCCGGTGGCCAGTAGGTGGGCCGCGGCCCATAGGTTGGGGACCCCTGGCATAGGGAACAAAGCTATTACATAATCACGTAGTCCTGCTAGAAATACTTTAGACTGGATTTGGCATTTTGGTCCGCCTCTTGAGTCTTACCCAAGGCCCTGGATAATTTTAATTTTTACTCTATAATTTCTGTCAGATGATGGACACGTGTCTCTCCGAAGCATGTTTAAACTCATTTTCTGGTGATTGACCTCGACTACCTTTGCTGGAAGTTGGTTTCAAGCTTCCACTACTCTTTCTGTGAAGTCATCCTTTCTCCCGTGACTTTCGAATTTCCTTCCTGTCAGTTTGAGGTTAGCCCCCTCCCCCCTCGTTCTTGATTTTTGCTTCATATACTGCCTTCTAGAACTTTCTGATGCCAAGGTCCCCGTTCTTTTTAATAGATCTGCCTCTTCCAGGCAGCGTAGGCTGGGCTTTTCCAGCATAACACCTTTGATATCTCAAGTACACAGTCAAGTCCTTGACTTAACTACCGTCACGAAGCCTTCCCATTGTGTTAACGACGATCGCGAAGCATCGTGCCACCATTTCGATTTTGCAGCCTTTTATTTATTTATTTATTTTTTTGCATTAAGTCATTAAGCAAATCACCCTGGTGGTTAAATGAATCCGCGATCATTCTGTTCGTTACGGGACAGTTTTGCTGAAAACCGGAGGGAAAACATCGTGGGTTGTTTTTTCCAGCCAAATTTTGCAAATAGCAATTCCATAACTGCAGGATGCTGCAAACAGCCATAAATGTGGGCCGGCAGCCAAGTTCTCAAAATGGAGTCATGTGACCATGGAGGACGCAGTTGGAATTTCGGAACTGGATCATAAGTACCTTTCACAGGTACTTACAATTTCAGGTTGTCACTAAGCAAATGGTTTAAATACAGGTAGTCGTTGACTTAACGGCCACAACTGAGCCCCAAATTTACGTTGTCAAGCGACACATTCAAGTGAGTTTTGCCCCGTTTTACGACCTTTTTTTGCCACTGCTGTTAAGTGAATCACTGCAGTTGTGAAGTTAGTAACAAGTCAGTAATATTTCTAAATGTATTTGTCCTTAATATATTCAGGTAAATTGGAAGCAGCTACTGATTCAAATAACGTTTTTCTCATGTCCTGGGGGCAAATTGCCTCTATATTAATCATGATTAATCTTGGATTCCTACCAGCCACAATTGGGTTTCACTTGATGCAAGTTCTTGGCGCCTTCTGAGCTTTCCTTTATATCTTAAAACATTATTTTAAGAATAGAATAGAGCTGGAAGGGACCTTGGAGGTCTTCTAGTCCAGCCCCCTTCTCAAGTAGGAGAATCTATGCCGTCTCGGACAGGTGAATGTTTAGTCTCTTCTTAAAGAGACTAGAGAGACTTAAACATTATACATTATACATATGATAAATTATTATTTTTTTATTACTGCTTGCCTAATCATCTGTTTCTCTGGAAGATACAGTGCTTTCGAGGTTGCGAAACTCGATCTAAAAATAAATTGAAAATTGCTGCACGCACGGGAGGCATTTCACAATGTAGACATTTTATTTAGACTTTCCAAAATTTCCCTGTGTTTAGTTTGGCCTTCAAATCAATCCTTTCCTCTTAATACAGGTAGTCCTCGATTTTTGACCACAATGGAATGCAGAATTTGTGTTGCTAGGCGAGACAGTTACTGAGTTTTTACCCCATTTTGCGACCTTTCTTGCCACCGTTGTTAAGCGAGTCACTGCAGTTGCTAAATTAGAAACACGGTTGTTAAGTGAATCTGGCTTCCCCTGTTGAATTTGCTTGTCAGAAGGTCGCAAAAGGGGATCACATGACCCCGGGGGACACTGCAACCGTCCTAAGTACATGTCAGTTGCCAAGCCTCTGAATTTTGTTCACGTGACCACGAGAATGCTGCAACAGTTGTAGCTGTGAAAAACAGTCCAAAGTCCCTTTTTCCAATGCCAGTGTAACTTCAAACGGTCACTAAATGAACGGGGACTAAATGAGGACTACCTGTATTGCTATTCGTAGCTGTTACGTCGAACAGTGTTTGGGAACCAGCCTGCTAAGAAACCTTTGACTACGCAAAGATATTTTTGAATTATTGCTAATGTAATAGCGTTATTTTGTTTTAACCCCACAGAAATTGCTCTGCGAGAAGTTGGAAGAACAGCTACAGGACCTGGATGTGGTCTTGAAAAAGAAAGAACGTGCAGAACGAAGGTATCACAATATTCATCGTATAATCCTAGTCAAATTGGTATAAATAGCTTGATTATACTAAAAAAAAAAAGGCATGTGTATATTAGAGAGGTGTGAAATTTTGTGGGTTCAAACCCCGGACAGCTTGGAGAAACTCCTGCTCCAAAGGACTCCAGAAGATTGCTTTTCCATCGGATCGTGCTAAATCTCTTCCTGTTTGTATTGTTTTTCCTCTCCAAGGAAGGAACGCCTTGTCTACGTGGGCATTAGCATCGAGAATATCATTCCTCCGCGGGTAAGTGAAACGTCTCTCTTGATTTCTTTTGAGTTAACGACCTACTGCTGAAAAGCATAAAAAATTCTAGCAGAATTGGCACCATTCAATATCATACACGAGGAACAATATACATAACACGTGCTAATACCGCAGGATCCAACAAACCACAATTACAGCAGGAAATAGAAGAGAGAGAACACATCAGCAGAGCTTTCCCTTTATACAAAGACTCTTAAAGAGACACAGACCCTGCTGAGTCATTCCCATCATTACATCTTACATTACATCTTACATTACATAAGCTGGTTGGCTGTTAAATTATTACCTTGACATGCTTGGCAACTGACTCCGATTTGTGATGGTTGCAGAGTCGTGTGTGTGTGTGTGTGTGTGTGTGTGTGTGTGTGTCACGTGATCCCCTTTGGCAAACTTCTGATTAGGAAAGTCAACGGGGAAGCCAGATTCAGTTAACAACCGTGTGACTAACTTTGCAACTGCAGTGAATCACTTAACCACTATGGCAAGGGAGGTCGTAAAATGAGGCACCATAACCGGCTGGCTTAGGCAGTGGAAATTTTAGGCTCCGTTGTGGTCGTAAGTCGAGGACTTGTTTCTTTGTATGTTTCTTTCCATTAACACAAGCAGGATTGAGGCTGAGCATAAATGGTTGACAAGTAGAAGAAAGTTGTTGGTGTTGGCCGCAACTGATGGTGTATTTCAGTGGTGGCGAACCTATGGCACGCGTGCCAGAGGCGGCACTCAGAGCCCTCTCTGGGCATACGCACCGTGCCCTGGAGATGGCAACCGTCCCTCGTCAACCAGCCGCCCGCTAACTCACCGAGGTCCCATGTGGCCGGATGCATCCCAGCACGGCTGGTTTCCCTCCCCCCCCCTCCCCGTCCCATCCCTCCTGGCCTCACATGCTCTCCTTTTCTGGGGCACGACCACTGCATTCCCTCCTCAGTTGTCGGCTAGCTGTCCAACTCAGAGGTGGCTTCTCTGAACTTCTGGCGGCGGGCTGCGGAGCCCCAGAGTGCGCTGGTTGAGGGACCAGCAGGCTGTGGCTGCTGACGGACACTGTCGGCCCCCATGCGCTCGCTGGCCTCTGTGTGCGGGGGCCGATGGTGTCAGGCAGCAGCTGTTCCGGCCTCACCTTGCCCTGTGACAATGGCACCCCCGCCCTACCTCGCCTCGCCTCACCTCACCCCGCAGGACGAGCCTCCTGCCCACCGCCCCACCTGCCAGAGACCCCCTGGATCTCCCCCAACCCTGCCTGGCCCCCACAGGCGTCCCTCCCCACGAGCAACACCGAGGTGACCACGCCCACCTTGGCCACACCCACCCAGTCTGCCACGCCCACCTGGCACCCGGCGATAAAGAAGTGGGTTTGGGGTTGTAGTTTTGGCACTGGGTCTCTAAAAGGTTCACCATCACTGGTGTATTTGAAAAGCCTTCGTCTTTTCAACAGGAGCCTGAAATTCCAGAGCCTGTACATGAAAAGAAGAAAGACACCAAAAAATCAAAGGCAAAACTGCTTGAAAGGAGGTCAACCAGGCAGCGGAAGTGTATCAGCTACAGGTAAATTACGAATACAGGAGCACATTTGAAGCTCAGGGTTGACCTGTGGGGTCCTTGGTGCTCTCTGAGCTGGGTGGTTTTCTTGCAGACGTTTCATGACCCAACTAGGAAACGTCGTCAGTGCTAGAAGGGAGTGGGGTTTGCAGGGAAAAGGAGGAAGGGGGGGAAGGAGGACAACTGTGGGGTCCTTGGTGCTCTCTGAGCTTGGTTGCTTTCTTGAAGACATTTCATACCCAACTAGGAAACGTCATCAGTGCTAGAAGGGAGTGGGGTTTGCAGGGGGGGAGAGGAGGAGGAGAACAGTGGGGTCCTTGGTGCTCTCTGATCTGAGTTCTAGTCCTCCCTTAGGCATGAAAGCCCACTGGGTGACTTTGGGTCAGTTGCACATTCTCTATCTCTGTGTATGTGTGTCCATTCTCTCTCTCTCTCTCTCTCTCTCTCTCTCTCTCTCTCTCTCTCTGTCTTTGTTTCTTTCTGTTTTTTTTCTCTGTCTCTGACTTTTACTCTCTTCCTCTGACTCTTTTTGACTGTCTTTCTCTCTGTGTGTGTCTTTCTCTGACTCTTCTTCTCTCTCTCTCTCTCTCTTTCCTCTGTCTCTCTCTCTCTCTCCCTTCCTCTCTCTCTCTCNGATTAGTTTGTGAGCCAGTACGTTCTTGGTCAGTCAATGGCTACGCTCGCGTCAAGACTGGAAAATGGAACCAGGACGGGGCGTGACAACTTTGGCTGACTTGATCTGATTGGGCAGGAATACAGTCTCCACCCATTCTGTGGATCCTCCATCTCCGTGCTGAGAAAAGGCGTTCAGGTAAGACAACGCCCCTTCTAACCCACCTCACAGAGCTGTTGAGGGGAAAACAGGGCAGGTGTGTTTTGCACATCATCTTGGGTTGCACAAAATACAGATGGGATAGAAATCACACAAGTAAATACGACTTATATCCTGTTTTCGTGGAGAGGATCCTGTGGGGCCGCTAATCCAAATTGCTAACAGGGCCGAGACCCCCCCAGTTGTCAACATCCTCCTGAATTTTCCTATTTCTGCAGGTTTGATGAATTTGACGAGGCCATCGACGAAGCCATAGAAGACGACATCAAGGAGGCTGATGGAGGAGGTGAGGTTTTTTTTTTGAGGGAGGGGGGGGATTTGGATAGAGAAAGGTGTGGATGACTTGAGCAGCGGATGGTTATTCTGAATTTTGGCACGGCAGGTGACCGAATTTAGTTTGAGGGTTTTAGATGCTGAGCTGTTTCACTTCCGGGGCAGGAGAATTGCGTATTTGCTAAATGCAATAATAATAGAATTTGGCTTTTGCCCTCTTCCTACTAAGCCAGGGGTAGGCAACCTTGGCTCTTTTATGACTGGTGGACTTCAACTCCCAGAATTCCTGAGCCAGCCATACTGAGGGGAAAGAGAGAGGTTTCCAAGCTGAGCCATGCTGGCTCAGGAATTCTGGGAGTTGAAGTCCACAAGTCATGAAGGGGCCAAAGTTCCCCCATGCTGGCTCAGGAATTCTGGGAGTTGAAGTCCACGAGTCATGAAGGGGCCATAGTTCCCCCATGCTGGCTCAGGAATTCTGGGAGTTGAAGTCAACAACAACAATAACAACAACAACAATAATAAAGTTGGAAGGGACCAATCATGAAGGGGCCAACGTTTCCCCCATGCTGGCTGAGGAATTCTGGAGTTGAAGTCTACAAGTCATGAAGGGACCATAGTTCCCCCATGCTGGCTCAGGAATTCTGGGAGTTGAAGTCCACGAGTCATAAAAGAGCCAAGGTTGCCTACCCCTGGCATAGGCTATATAAGAAGGCCTACAGCAGCTCATTGTTGCCATAAGCAACGGATGGAAACTAAGCTAGGAGAGAAGCAACCTAGAACTAAGGAAGAATTTCCTGACAGTGAGAACAATTAATCAGTGGAACAACCTGCCTCCAGAAGTTGTGGGTGCTCCAACACTGGAAGTTTTTAAGAAGAGACTGGACAGCCATTTGTCTGAAATGGTATAGGGTCTCTGGCTTGAGCAGGGGGTTGGACTAGAAGACCTCCAAGGTCCCTTCCAACTCTGTTACTCTGTTCTATTCGATCCTCTTGGAAACCCCCCCCCAAAAAAAAATATAGGTGTCGGAAGAGGGAAGGACATGTCTAACATCACGGGGCATCGAGGCAAGGATATCTCCACCATCCTGGAGGAAGAAAGGAAGGAGAGCAAACGGCCCCCCAGAGCTGCTGCCCTCCGACGCAAGAAACGGCGGCGACTGAACGACCTGGACAGCGACAGCAACCTGGATGAAGAAGAGAGTGAAGATGAATTCAGAATCAGTGAAGGGTGAGGCATTTTATAATCTCTCGAACTGCTGTCAGTCGGCAAAATTAGCCTGAAGTACTGCATTCTAACCTCTGCAACACCATGTCTCCTTCCTTCCTTCCATGCATCCATCCTTATCTCTCCCTTCCTTCCTTTCTTCCTTCCATCCATCCTTATCTCTCCCTTCCTTCCTTTCCTTCCTTCCTTCCTTCTCCTTCCTTCCTTCTTTCCTTCCATCCATCCTTATCTCTTCCTTCCTTCCCTCTCCTTCCTTCTTCCTTCTTTCTTCCCTCCTTTCTTTCCTTCCTTCCTTCCTCTTCCATCCATCCATCCTTATCTCTCCCTTCCTTCCTTCCTTCCTTCCTTCCTTCCTTCCTTCCTTCCTTCCTTCCTTCCTTCCTTCCTTCCTTCTCTCTCCCTTCCTTCCTTCCTGCCTTCTCCTTCCTTCCTTCTTCCATCCATCCTTATCTCTTCCTTCCTTCCTTCCCTCTTCTTCCTTCTTCCTTCCTTCTTCCTTCCTTTCTTTCTTTCCTTCCTTCCTTCCATCCATCCTTATCTCTCCCTCCCTTCCTTCCTTCCATCCATCCTTATCTCTCCCTTCCTTTCTTTCCTTCCTTCCTTCTTTCCTTCCATCCATCTTTATCTCTTCCTTCCTTCCTTTCCTCTCCTTCCTTCTTTCTTCCTTCCCTCCCTCCTTTCTTTCCTTCCTTTCTTCCTTCCTTCTCTTTCCTTCCTTCTTTCCTTCTCCTTCCTTCTTTCTTTCCTTCCGTCCATCCTTATCTCTTCCTTCCTTTCTTCCTTCTCCCTTCTTTCCCTTCTTTCTTCCCTCCCTCCCTCCCTCCCTCCTTCCTTCCTTCCTTCCTTCCTTCCAACAATAAAGGTTTTATCTTATCGTATCCTTAACCAGCTAAATATATTTTCGGTCCAAATTCCTTCATTTTAAATACCCTCCCCATTGATCTCTGTCCCTACAGATCTCAGGATGAGTTTGTGGTATCGGATGACAACCCGGACGAAAGTGAAGAGGATCAGCCGTCAAATGACGACAGTGACGTGGAGTTCTCCAAGCGTCGGCCGAGACGGTACCACCCTAGGCCCATGAGGCAAAGCCGGCGTCTACAGAGAAAAACAATCAAGAAGAGGTACTCGGAAGATGATGAAGAGGAAGACTCCGAGGATAACTTAAGTGGCAACTCTGGTAAGTCTTGGTAACTAGACAGCTGTCCAAATATTGATCAATATCTGTTTTCCCAGAGGATCAACCATCTTCTTACACTTGAGGAGAAAGATAGGATTATTTTGGTTTTCTCTAGCGCATGGGTCTCCAACCTTGGCAACTTTAAGACCTGTGGACTTCAACTCCCAGAATTCCCCAGCCAGCCATGGCTGGCTGGGGAATTCTGGGAATTGAAGTCCACACACCATAAAATTGCCAAGGTTGGACACATGGCTGAGATCCATCAGATAGGTTCCATTTCAGCTGATCTCTGCAGCTCATGATTGATACCGTGTATGATTTAGTTTGGATGGCCATTTTAAAATTATCTTTTGTTCCTGATGCTGCATATAAGCCCCCTGGAGTTTTGAACGCTGAGCCATAGAGAAACATTCCTCAATAAATAAGATAAGATAATCTTTATTGTCATTTTTTTTTACTGTGGGCACAATGGCACACATAAAAAATGAAATTTAGGACTTCCGGTTTGCTGCGCGGCCACTATGGACGTGCGGAAGACGATTCTCGCCTTCCCCATCCAATTTTGCATCGCTAGGGGACCCTGAAAAGGGTTGAAAGTCGCCCCGTAGAGGTGACCAGCACGGAGGGGCTCTCGCTGGATCGCGGGAGAGCGGCAACTCTCCCGTTTGAGCCGGAGACTCCCTCCAAACCGGCGGACAAAAGGACCGGCCATAGAAATATGGCTCGTCCCTAGGCTGCTAACAGCCGAAGTCGCATTTACTATCTGGCAACTCTAAAGCAGCGGGAAGAGACTGGATGAGATCTACCTCTCTTACATCCTAATTACTTACCTGCATAAGCTGCTAAAGTACTTTCCCCCCTGTGGTGAGGGAAGGGGGATTTTAGCCCTCCCTCCAGAAACAGCGGCGATCAACCACCCAGGGGAGTTTAAAACGTTGGAAAAATACTGGGATCCTAATTGGAACTCTATTTCCTAAAATTGGTGGATTATAAAATTTGTAACTTTCTACTATTTTTTTTCTCTGATTTTTACTCTAATTATTATTGAAGATTTGGATTTTTTCCCCCTTAAAATAGAAGAAAAAAAACTGAAAAGATCCAGCTAACTCTGGGATGACATCTGGTGCCTAAATTTGAGACTGTAACCTGCTATTCTTTAAGAGAGACTTGTTGACAGCTTTGAAAATAGATAAGATATAAGCAACCTTGAAGCACCAGCTGCAAGGAACTCAGCTCAGCTCCTCACTTGGTGGACTTTCTGACTGTAAGTTTTTTTTAGTTTAATATACTGCAATGGAAGAAGAACAGGAATGGATTTCTCCTACAGAGGAAGAACAGGAACAAACTCTTTGTATGTTAAAAGCAATTATCCAAACTCTCCGTATAAGCCTGGATATGCAAACTCAAACTATGACTTCAACCAAAGAATCATCTATACAGAATTCTACAGAGAAAGTGAAACAACCAAATGCTATGACAGAAGACTTAGATACTCAACAAATACAGATAATGGAAAACACAAAAAAGAAACTGATAATAGAGAAGAAGGAAAGGACTTTTCTTATAAATCAGAAGGAATTTGAAGATCAAAAAGAAAAACAGATGAAAGAGAAGATAAATACTTCGGGACAACTGCATCGAGCTGGAAAAACAAAGAGATGACCTGCTAAATCAGCTAGTCCCCTTAAGAAAACATCAACTGAATGCTTTTGTCAACATCAAACAATAGCCACAACAATACAAGGAGATCTTTTTGATGATTTAAAAGCAAAGATACGAAAGATGACTTGGCAAAGAAAAAAAGCTAGAATAAGACTGAAAAGGATTGGGGTTTTGATTTACACATGAGATGTAAAATAGAATATATCCAAATGGATAGAATGTATTCTGAACATAAGATATTGTAACGATTTGAGATAAAGAAAATTTTGGTTATATAAAATCTACAAGTATAAATATTGAAATAAGAATATTATATTGTTTTATTAGTTTGCTAAGATAGATGGTAGAATTTATATATAAGGTGTGTATTTTAAATATTAGATTATATGAGGAATTGTGATAAAGGAATTGTGCTTAATTAAAAATTTGGGGAAAAATATTTTTAATGTTTAATAAATTAAAATATTAAGAGAAAAATAATTATCAGGTCACTGATTGGCTAAAAGTTTGAATGTTTAAAAATAACTAAGATTTGAATTTAAGATATTGTTATGAGTTGAGACAAAAGTTAAGTAAAACTTAGAAGTATAAGCACTAATAATTAAATTTGTATATTGGTTTGTGGTACAAATACTGACGGGGTTTTTTTTCGTTGTTTTTTTTTTTGTTTTTTTTTGGGGAAGGAAGGAAGGAAGGATATAGAAAAAAAAATTATTAGCCCCAAATATGAGATAGGAGACTTAAAAATTGGGGTCATTTAAAATTTGGAAATGATAAAGATTAAACGTTAAATTTAAATATTAATGGGAAGTTAAAGTTAAGAAAAACTTACTAGGTTATGGATTGTCTAAAAGATGGAATGTCAAATGAATTAAGATATGTATAGACTGAAGATTATTGATGAATGCTAGAAAGATATTTTTTGTTTGATTGATAGAATAAGAACTGTGTTGGTCCGAATATGAGACAGTAGATATTATGGGGGAAAGAGAGGGAATTAGTTGTTGTAATACTTTGAGATTTGTACTGATGATGTTCAAATGTAATGGAATTACTGTGCCCAGCCGCCACGCTACTTTTCAAATATGTAAATGTAATATTGGAAAATTAATAAAAAAAACTTGGGGGGAAAACAAAAAACAAAAATGAAATTTAGTTGCCCTCTCTCAAAGTGAAACACATACATGACACACACACCTAAACATACTATATACAACATATGTATAGACCCCCACCGCTACATGTACATAACAAATAAATATTAAACACTGTCCATCTTGAAAATATAACGGAAGGAGGAAGCTTGAGAATTCACAAGGTTAATGCTGTATGGAATGAAACTATGGCTGAATCTGGCTGTTCAAATCAAAATAAATGGGTAATAGTTTTATTAGCTCCATTCAGGTGTAATGAAAATAGGCAATCCTGATATAGCGATAGCATTTAGACTTCTGTACTGCCCCAAAGAGGTTTGCAGCACACTCTGGGCTGTTTACAATGTAGAAACATTATTTGCATATTGTTCCCAACAATCTGGGTCCTCATTTTACCGACCTCGGAAGGATGGAAGGCTGAGTCAACCTTGAGCCGGTCAGGATCGAACTCCTGACTGGGGGCAGCGAGTTAGCCTGCAATACTGCCTTCTAACCTCTGTGCCACCAGGACTCCTGGTGAGAAAATTCTTTGCCAATCCTAATATATAAATCTGTTCAGGTGGTCCTTGTTTAAGGACCACTCCTTTAGCAACTGTTCCAAAGTTGCAACAGTACTAAGTGGTAATTATGAATGGTCCTTGTAGTTCTTGCTGTTATAGCGCCCCCCCCCCCCCAAATCAGACAGTTGCAATTTCTGGTGTTCCCTGGTAGCTTTAAACCTGGGGGTCTCCAAACTTGGCCCTTTTATGACTTGTGGACTTCAACTCCCAGAATTCCTCAGCCAGGCACGCTGGCTGAGGAATTCTTGGAGTTGAAGTCCACACCTCTTAAAATGGCCGAGGCTGAGAAACACCAGTTTAGCTCTTTCTGAGTTAGCATTATTTCCCCCTCACATTATGTCAGGGGTCTTCAAACTTGGCCCTTTTATGACTTGTGGACTTCAACTCTCAGAATTCCTCAGCCAGGCATGCTGGCTGAGGAATTCTGGGAGTTGAAGTCCACATCTCTTAAAATGGCCGAGGCTGAGAAACACCAGTTTAGCTCTTTCTGAGTTAGCATTATTTCCCCCTCACATTATGTCAGGGGTCTTCAAACTTGGCCCTTTTATGACTTGTGAGACTTCAACTCCCAGAATTCCTCAGCCAGGCACTCTGGCTGAGGAATTCTGGGAGTTGAAGTCCACAAGTCATCAAAGGGCCAAGTTTGAAGACCCCTGGTTTACACAAACAAATCCAGTGGGGAAGCCAGCAGGAAGTTGGAGGCCACAATTCTATGAGGTCCTCACTTTATGACTGATCGTTTAGCAAGGGGAATTCCGATCCCAATTACCGTCGTTATCTGTATTTTTGAACACTTACCATAAAGATTTCTGGTCTCTTCTGCTCAGTATCCCGCAGCACCCGGTTCCCCCAAAGATGGATGACCTTGTTATCATTTAATGGTGTAGTTTAATAATTGAAATAACAACTGGAGGAATAACGTTAATAATTCATACTTCCTTATTTGTGTTTGTCATTCTTATCGCCAAAAAGTCACAATCGTATAAATATAGTAACATGTATACGATAGGTACATTATATATATATATATATATATAAGGCAGTTTCTTTCTTATCTCCTGGCTCGCTGCCTCACGCAGAAACAGATGCTTCTTCCGAATACAGTGACGACGATTATTTGGAAACAAGACGAAGGTCTCGGCGGAATCAGAAGAGGCAAGTCAACTACAAGGAAGATTCGGAAAGTGAAGGATCTCAGAAAAGCTTCCGATACGGGAAAGAAATGAGAAGAATACATAAGCGCAGGCTTTCCAGTTCAGACAGCGAAGGTATGGTGTGATGATAATAATAATAATAATAATAATAATAATAATAATAATAATAATAATAATAATAATAATAATAATAATAATAATAATAATAATAATAATAATAATAATAATAATAATAAAAAAGTTGGAAGGGACCTTGGAGGTCATCTAGCCCAACCCCCTGCTCAGGCAGGAAACCCTATACCGTTTCAGACAAATGGCTGTCCAGTCTCTTATTTGTTTCCTATTACCAGTTCAAAATTTAAATCCCACCACAGTCACGAAAGACTTTTGTTCACATCACAGAATACAGGTTGGCAGGGATGAGCACCACCAAGCCTTAGCCTTGCTAATTACTAAGATAATTAACCCATTTTTCTCGTGTGAAATTCGTACTGATTGATGACATTGAAGGAAATTATAGACATTTTCTTCAGGAGCCCAAAGTGTTCGTCCCTTTTCTTGTTTTAATCATCGTAAGAACCCTGCAGGGTCACTTAGATTGAGAAATAGTGACCAGCCCAAGGTCACTCGGTTAGTTTCATAACCATACAGGCGGTTCTCGACTTACAACCATTTGTTTAGTGACCGTTCGAACATACAACAGCACGAAAAAAGTGACTTGTGACCGGCTGTCAAACTTAACGGCTGTGGCAACATGGTCACGTGATCAGAATTTGCCCGCTTGGCATCTGGCTCGTATGTACGACGGTCGCAGTGTCCCCGGGGGTCACGCGATCCCCTTTTGCGACCATCTACCTAGCAAAATCAATGGAGAAAGCCAGATTCACTTAACATCTGTGATACTAACTTAACAACGGCTGTGGCCCACTTAACCGCTGTGGCAAGGACGCTCGTAAAATGAGACAAACTCACTTCATCACTGTCTTGCTTAGTGACAGGAATTGTGGTCGTAAGTCGAGGACTCCTTGTAGTTCCTCCCCCTCCCCCCCCGGAAACCCGTGAGATTTCGCTAAACCCTCTTAAGTCTGATCCTTCTTGCAGAGAGCTACCTGTCTAAGCATTCTGAGGACGACCAGCCCGCCAGGTTGTCCCGAAGGTCGGTCCGGAAGCGGAGCCACGTCACCGACGAGTACTCGGAAGGCGAGGACGACCCCGAGGACGAAGGCCGGCCCGTTCGCAAGCGGGTGAACCGCATCGAAACGGACGAGGAGGACAACGGCCCCGACGCCGACGCCAGCAAGCCGGCGCCGGCCGAGAAGCCCTCCGCCTCTCCCGCGCAGCCAGACACCGCCAAGAAACCCTGCTACCGGATAGAAAGCGAAGAGGAGGATGACTTTGACAATGTGGGGAAGGTGGAAAGCCCGTTGGACTACAGCCTGGTGGATTTGCCCTCCACCAACGGACAGAGCCCGGGCAAAGCTATCGAGAACTTGATCGGTAAGCCCGCCGAGAAGGCCCCCTTGACCAAGGACAGCACAGCCAATGCCAGCTTGGCACCCAACGGGACGGGGGGCGGCCTGGAGGCCGGCGGACCCGAGGAGGACGAAGACGAACTCTTGCGAGTGACTGACCTTGTGGATTACGTCTGTAACAGTGAACAGTTATAAAACTCCCGTTTTTTGTGCTAATTTATTCCATGGTAGCTCATACCAGCGGGCCAGTTATTAAAAGGTGTTTTATTTTTCCTAGGAAACTCCACTACAGTATCACTTTTTAGCAGTCAAAAATTTCACCAGCCCTGCAGTTTTGGGGGTACCTCTTTTTTCCCCCTTTTTTTTTTTAATCCTTTCCTCGCCTCCTCTCCTCCCTAACTCCAGCGACCAGTTTTCCTTCCCTTTTGTTTTTGTTTTTCTACAACTATTTTTCTTTGGAAGAGATTGACCCTTTGCTTTCCTCACCACAACCACCTCCTCTTCCTCCTCCTCCTCCTCCTCCTCCTCCAGTTTCATAATCCTGGCCAAAAAAACAAAACAATCGTCCAGACGCAGAGCTTGTAGTAAAAAAAAAAAAAAAAAAAGGAGAGAATTGTATATTTTTGACTCTATATTTCCTGAGGGGCGCATAAAGTTGTTAGGAAAAATGGGATGGTTGTATGTTAACAAAAGCATTCCAATTTGGCCCGGGGCCCAAAATCTTAAAAACTTTTGGAGTTTGGGGGTGGGGGGGGCCAGGAGGGAGAAAAAAAAAAAAAGCAGGGCGCTGAGACAGAAGCACTCCGCGCTGCAACTTTTTTCCATAGGAGATATATATTCTATTTCAACGTTCACAACTTAGGCGACCATTTAACATGCAATTTTAAAGGGATGAAGAAAAACGAATGATCTTTTAACTGTTGCATTTTTGTGAACTTGTAGGCTAACTTAACCTTAGTTGATTTTAGTAAATTGCCTTCCTGGATTAAAAAAAGAAAGAAAGAAAAAAAAAGAAAAAGCAACTGTTGACAAGATCCTGAAATAATTATTAGCACAGTGGACAGATTTGGAGAAAAATTTTCACGCAAAACAAAACAAAAAAAAACAAGACATTTTTCTTGGCATCGTCTTTTAATTCATGGTCTCCCCTTTTCTTCCCCCCAATAAACATATTTTAAAAAGTGTTTCATACAGTAAACAGTGTAAACTCTCATGAACTTTCTGGAGTTTGAAACCGCAGGGATGGGGATGGCGCGAGGCTGCTTTTTGTGAATTTTCTCCTCAGCTGGGTAATCCCAACGTACAATAAAATCACGGAGAGATTCATAGCCCAGACTTGGCGACCATTTTCAGCCGTGGCAAAAGAAACGCGCTGCTGCTTTTAAAACCCTCACGGCCATCTCGATATCTACTTCAAATTGAAGTACGGAAATAGAGCAGGGTGTAACTGTTTGGGGGGGGTTTTTTGTTTTTCGTGGGAGATTTCTTTTTTCCTGTTTAGAAAGCGTGTATTTGTGTGCCTGTCGTAGTTTTACTTCTCTGGATGATCTAGCACAAGGGTAGGCAACCTTGGCTCTTTTATGACTCGTGGACTTCAACTCCCAGAATCCCTGAGCCAGCATGGGCGAACTATGCCCCCTTCATGACTTGTGGACTTCAACTCCCAGAATTCCTGAGCCAGCGTGGGGGAACTGTGGCCCCTTCGTGACTCGTGGACTTCAACTCCCAGAATTCCTGAGCCAGCGTGGGGGAACTGTGGCCCCTTCGTGACTCGTGGACTTCAACTCCCAGAATTCCTGAGCCAGCGTGGGGGAACTGTGGCCCCTTCGTGACTCGNTTTTTTTTTAATTCAGACTTTTCTGGGAAGTAGTGTTAAGTTTTCAGGTATCCCTGTATTGGGATACGATGGCTAACACACAGTGTTAAGTATGGAGATCAATCAGAATAGAGCTGGAAGAGACCTTGGAGGTCTTCTAGTCCAACCCCCTGGTCAGGCAGGAAACCCTATACCATTTCAGACAAATGGCTGTCCAGTCTCTTCTTAAAAACCTCCAGTGTTGGAGCATTCACCGCTTCTGGAGGCAGGTAGTTCCACTGGTTAATTGTTCTCCCTGTCAGGAAATTTTTCCTTATTTCTAGGTTGCTTCTCTCCTTGATTATTTTCCATCCATTGCTTCTCGTCCGGCCTTCGGGTGCTTTGGAAAATAAGTTGACCAGAAGAATTTGCCTGTCAGTTAATAGACATTCAAACAATTGCAATCTTGTCTCCCACTTCCCTAGAGGAGCTGTTGTGTTTCCTTTCTTGTTTTGCGTGGAGCAGCGTGTGGGCTGCTGAAAAAAAAACACACAATTAAATGTGGACATTCAAGTCGTCATCTCCCTTTCTCCGTGCTAACTTAAGGGTCTTATGTGGATGCTAGTTTCATTACTTGGCATTGAGATGGAAGTGGGAATTCTCCTTCCCTCTCCTGCTCTGTTGTAATAACACCATGTTGCATTTTAGAGATGTTGGCTTGCTGCTAATTGCTTTTTATTGCTTTGAAACACGGCACCTGGCCTCAGGAAATACCTCATCAAAAATACCCAGGTCCCTTCATCTTCCTCGTCTTGAAGTCTTGACTCTCTCCTCTTCGAACTTCATAACGTAATATTCCAGCAAACATTCCAGCTTTTGACCTTCCTCTTTTAAAATCCTAACATTCTCCTTTTTAAAAAAAAAAAAAAAAAAAAGGCTTTTCTGAACAGCCATTTCTGTAGTCAACAGAAGCAAATGACTTGGGCCGCATGAGGTAATTCGGGTCTATTCTAACGGCATCCACAGAAATGAGTAACTCACTTTTGGGGGGGGGGTTTAATGTTAATTTTTTCTTTCGTGTGGGTGATGCTCAAAGGCAGGGTTGTTGGTTTTTTTTAATCTCGCTTTCACTTCTCATGAAAGCGAGCCGGTGTTTTAACTTCACCACCGCCAGAGCTGCGTTTTTATATTTTTAGAGGACAATATATGCAAGCAGAATTACAAATGGTGGGAAATATTTGTAGCTCGGATGCTTTGGGGGTGGCGGTTTGTTCTCCGAGCTTCTTGTTTAGATTCCGAAACTTTTGTCACCAAATTCGGTAATGGCATCAGCGAAACTTCGGTCGAAACGTCTTCCTTCAGTTCTCTTCTGCTTTTATAAGGTCGTACGTGGTCAGTTGATTACTCTCCCGTGG